TTCTTTTTCTTTTCGCGACATTCACTAAAATAATGACCATACTTTGACAATTGAAACACTGAATGTGACTTTTGTCAAGCTTTGGTCCACCACCTCTTCCTCTACCTGCAACACTACCTCTTTGGTTGCCTTGGTTCCAGGGTTTTCTTTGATTCGACCAGTTTCCTTCCCGTTGATTTTGACCAGTTGAATTGTTGTAGCCTCCTATACCTTTGTTGCCATTCCAACTTCCTTTGCTAGGATCTTTCCTTTTCTGACTGCGCCTGTAAAGCCATATCACTCTTCGAATTTCCTGCAGCTCTTTTAGCCATCCTTTGCTCATGAGATTCAAGCGTTCCTTGAAGCTCTTTCTTCGTCAATGTTGACAAGTCTTTCGACTCTTCTATGACTACTACCACGTGGTCAAACTTTGGAGTCAACAACCTCAAGATCTTTGCAACAACTGATCTTGATGTTAACACTTTTCCACATATCTTGATTTGATTCACCAGCTTTGTAACTCTAATGAAGAAATCTGCTATACTTTCACTTTCTTCCATCTGAAGCAATTCATAGGTTCTCTTGTGAGTTTGTAACCTTACCTCTTTCACCTTTTCTGCGCCTCCAAAATAATTTTCAAGAATTTCCCACGCCTCCTTCGCTGATTCTACATCACTAACTTTTTCAAAATTATCTAGATCTACACATTGATGGAATATAAAGAGAGCTTTATAATCTTTCTTCTTCAATTCTTTGAATAGAGCCTTTTCTTGATTCGTCACGTTTTCTACAACCGGTGCTACTCATCCCTTCACAAGATCCCAAAGATTTTGATAACAAAAAACCACCTTAATATGCTTGCACCAATTCTAATAGTTATCTTTCTTGAGAATTGGAAGGTTTGTCAGAAAGTGTCCGTTTGGATATTCATCACCATCGCGATTTTCCTTCCTTGAATCGTAACCAGAGCTCTAGATACCAGATGCTGGAAATTCAACCACAACCTATGGAGAATTTAACTCAATCAATCTTGATCTCAAGATTGTTTCAACCCACGTAATGACAATGAAAGAAAAGTTTAAAAAGAAAGAAAGAAAGTAAACGTTGGAAAAGAAGAAGATGAACAATTTTCTGCAGAGAACTCTCTGCCCACAAACTGTGGAAATTCTATTATTTCACTTGCAACTGCAAACTGTGAATTACGAAATATGTTGGGATGTTTACAAAATAAGAGTTTCTCCCTATTTATAGATTTAGGTTTGCTTGCACCCCGAGGCAAAGCCCAAAACTATAAAAGCAAAAAATAGCTAACATTACTAAAATATGCCTAAGTCGAAATCCTGTGTGAAGCAACCTGCTTTGACACTTCAACACACTAAGCAACTCGACGCACTAACACATTAGGCTAATTTGACTAATCCTTATTTCTGTCGAGCTACACTGCTTCGACACAAGGAATTACAAACTCAACAAGTACAAGTATAATATCAATACTCCTATCGAATATGATATTATTTTATGAAAGTACTTATAATTAAATCTAATTATTCTCTTAATGAGGTACGACTATATGTAATTACTATTGTTAGACCTATGTGGATATTCTATGACCTATAATTTAAAAGTCATTATTATAATCACTAACCATAGAGTTATACACATGAGTAAGTCTAATGATATTTTTGGATTGATGGGAGTTTATTTTCATATGCTTGCACCATTATTTTATAACATAATATCCTAACTTAAATATGTTACTCTAAATTCATCATTCTTTACATAGGTTGTGAGTTTTTAACATGTATGGTTTGCTTTCTCCATCGAATACAATTTCTGCAACGTTGAAACTTACTTCTTTTTTAATTAATTAGTCTTTTGACCATATTTAGTAATTTAATATTAAAATTAATATCTTTAATAATTAATTATTATCAATCAAGTGGGAGGGAGATTGTTAGATTAACTTTTTTCAAAAAAATATTGCAATTAATTTTCCAATTTTTTTTAATTCTTCCTCATAGAATTTATTATCGTTTTATATATAAAAAAAGGGTTTATTAAACTTGCAAATACTAAAAGTGTTTTTTTTAGTATTCTTTTAAAATCTTTTTAAAACTATATCAGAAAATAAAAATGCTTCTAGAAAACATATTTTATAAAAGATACACATTCATCATATGCTAGAAAATAGTGCATCCTTAATACACATTCATAACTTACACCATAATTGATTAAGCTAAAAAAAATTAAATTAAATTTAAAAACAATTTATTGATAAATTATGAGTCTTAGTCAACTCGTTGACAAATTATGAGTTTCAAAGTTCTTCAATTAACACTTATTTCTCCACTAGATTATTCTTCATAACACCATAATTGTTGACAAATTATGAGTCTTTCTCGTCATCATCATTTTTGACGCTTTTCAACATATTTAGTTATGCATTCAATTGTTGAAGCTCAAATTTTATATTTTATTGCATACCCTGTTTTTTTTTCCAACTTCTTTTCTTCCAATTAAAGTGGATTTTGGACTTTTCACTATCGTAAATACAAGAACATAACCAAATAGAAATATCACAATTCTCGATTACCTTTCTTCTTGGTGAAGTGACTTTAGAATTCTAAATCTCTTTTCTTCTTGTGAATCATCAACACAATAACATTGTTAAAGATATTTATAACATGATTAATGAATATAACGACGTCTCATCTAAAGTCATGACGATTCAAATAATTTAACAAGTTTAATAAAACTCAGGTGAAAAACGTATTTTCATTGTAGTAGCTCATTATATCTTTGATAATTTTTATGACATGAGACAAGAAATTATAGCCAATGGTCCTTTAATACGACCTTCAATAATGTTATTATGTTAAGTGACATTTACGAAGAATAATTGAGAGTCCTAAAGTCACGTCAACAAAAACAAGAAAGTGCAGAGTCTTGATATTTCTATTTAGTCTTGTTATTATATTTACTTTACTAGGAGCCTAGGAAGTCGTAAAGTCACTTCAGCAGGAAGAAAGTGAGTTGAAAAGCATCTCGGTATGCAATAAAACTTGAAATTTGAGTTAATATTTACGTTAGTAGGAGGTCATAAAGTCACTTTAGCTGGGAAAAAAGTGCAGACACTATTACATAATATACTTTTGGTAACACTATATTATTACGACTCTTTTGTCAATCATAGTATCATTTTTAGCGCGCCTGATTTTTATTTTATTTTATTAAAATACGTTTCATCAGAGTTCTTAATAATAACTGTTGTGAAAAGTAGGAACTCATCACTTTTAACCATAGTTGGAATTTCAATTGTGGTGAAAAGTGACGTCTGGTCATGGGTTCAAATCCCAACACCAGTACTGTGGTAAAAAGCGGCGTCTAGTCATGGGTTCGAATCTCAACACCAACAAATTTTATAACATTCTTAATTCATTCACTTTTGTCATCTCTTCTCCAAATTAAACGAGACATGAAAAGGATGAATTCAACTTATCAACATTAGTTGTTGTTCTTGTGTCAGATAAAATGTTTTTGTTTAACAATTCTATTTATTTATTTTGTTGTTGTTCTTATTGTTCTTTTTGTTGTTTTTGTTTTTGTTTTTGTTTTTGTTATTGTTGTTGTTGTTGTTGTTTTTGTTGTTTTTATTGTTCTTGTTGCTCTTGTTGTTACTTTTGTTGTTCGTGTTGTTGTTATTGTTGTTGTTGTTGTTGTTGTTTTTGTTGTTGTTCTTGTTGTTTTTTATTTGTTTTGTTATTGTTGTTGTTCTTCTGTTTCTTGTTGTTATTGTGTTAAAAATATTTAATATTATTTATTGTGATGAAAGTTATCAATGTAGTTAAGAAAAACATGTGACAAAAATAGAAAATGCTGAGAGACCTTTTACCCCGAGTATTTAATATTATTTGTTGTTGTATTTATTGTTGCTTTTGTTGTTGTTGTTCTTCTTGTTGTTGTTATTGTTGCTTTTGTTGTTGTTCTTCTTGTTGTTGTTGTTATTGTTGTTATTGTTATTTTTATTGTTCTTTTTGTTTTTGTTATAATTGTTGTTCTTGTTGTTCTTGTTATTATTCTTGTATTTCTTGTTGTTCTTGTGTTAAAAATATTTAATATTATTTATTGTGATGAAAGTTATTAATGGAGTTATGAAAAATATGTGAAAAAAATAAAAAATACTGAGAGACCTTTCACCACATGTATTTAAAACAACTATGGTTATAGGTAGCGTGTTTTCTAGTTTTTTTTATCATGGACACAAGATCATGATTGTAAATAATTCAGATACAATCACCTCTTATTTAACAACGGTTGTTCAATTGTCTTATAGGTCTTTCGCAACCGTAATTATAGATGTTTTTTTCGTAGTAGTTTGAGTCTTGATATTTTTATATATTTATTTAAAATTTTATGTAGTTATCATCTCCTTTATTAAAAATAATTTAAAATATAAACTTAAATAACTGTAATTTAAATTATAAACATAGATATAAGCTAAACATAATTAAACAAATATGCTAGTTTAGAAACACCAATAAACATAATTTGAAACTTAAAATATGTGAACTTAGGCATTCCAATTGCCCAAGAGTTATAGTTGTTGTGCTTATATAGGTGTGTACATATAATGCTCACCGTTGGTGTTCCATTTTGTGTCTACACATAAGATCTTGTCTTGTCAATTAACTTGAGCCGTCAAATTACATGTTTGATTGTTTGTCCTAAAAAAGCATATTCCTATGTTCTTGCTACTTCCACCCATGTACTTCGCCTCAAATATCGCCCAACGCATTCTTTTTCCTCTTTACAACCCAACAACCCAACACACACCTTAAATCAATATACAGCTGGGCTTGTTCTCTATATTGTTTACGTATAATTATAGTCAATAACATTTCTCGTATAAAAACTTGTTTTCTTCTTTCATTTTCTTTGAATCCTCCCTCACATTTCCCCTGAGGGGGTGTTTTCTTATTATAAACTTTTATTCATTATTCTTTCCAGCATTTCACCGATTTATGGACACAAACCATGAACTTGCCAACAACATCACCATTCGAAACCCTTCTCGAGATGATGATGATGTTGGACTTGAACCCAAACCAACACCAATTCTCACCAAAAAGAAGAATCATGGTCCAATGCGTGCTCTTAGAGTCGCACTTCACATGATGCGAGGAAATTCTAAAAAACCAAACGTGGTTTCTACAGATGATGAATCCAAGAATCTTTGGAAGAAACTCGTGGGGTCAATGAGACCATTACACCTCCAAAGCAACCATTCCCCACGATTATCTTCTCAATCCAAAAGCCAGAGATTCGATCAAACAATCGCTCTGCCACCGCCTTCTCCGTATGAGTCAACCGGCGGTAGCAGCGCGTTTGTCGACTTTTCAACAGACGATGAGCCTTTCTCGCCTTTTTCGCCATCACCGGCTAGTAGCCGTTACGCATCGGCTATAGGGTTGAACGAACTCGTGACGAGTGACGAGGAGAATGATCGGCCCGGAGTGATTAAGGAGGAGTGTAACGTCGAAAACGGGGACGGGGACGAGAAGATTGATTCTAAAGCTGAAGATTTTATTGCTCAATTTTATCATCAAATGAGGTTGCAACGTTTGAATAATGTGCATCGTGATTATCAAAAGCGAAGTGAAAGGTCATTAGGATGGTGAAGTTCTTGTGCATGTATTAAATCATAATATCAAATAAATAAATAAATAAATAGCAAGAACATTACATTGGTTATAACTGTTTAGTATACGTGAATTAAGAGTACAACAAAACCATATATTAATATTAAATGCAATATCGTGTCATGTAGACTATAACATTGCAAAAATTTTCATGCGTCGGTGATATTTGTGGCTAACTTAGCATAACAGTGGTAGCTATTTGTAGCCGTGGCTAATTTGAGAGCATTTTTTCTTGATCCATCGAAGTCCTTTCTGGAGTGTAGCTTTAACCTTACCTTCTACGCTGTGAACTTTGTATTTTGCTATCCTCTTCTTTCTCTTTGCTTCTGGATTATTGAAACTCCATGGTTTTTCATTCTGCTGAGTTGAATTTGGTGACCAAGTCCCTCTTGATCTGTAGCCTTTCCCGCTCATTACAACGTCTGCCCTCCTGTTGCCGCCGTTGTAGGACATGTGACGGGATCCATGTGAATCCATGTCCGATCGCACCTACATCGACGGGGAAGGAAAATGAGGGGGTGAGTTGGGGCTTTTAACTTTGAAAATGGAGGAAGATGATATATAATGAATGAAGCATGGATCGTGTATTGTGGGAGGAATGTGCAATGTTTTGATATTTGAAAAGTGTCGTATGTGCTTGAAATCTGGATTGGTACTTTCTGGTATTAAAAAAATGATTAGCATCTTTTTTTTAAGAACATTTTGCTGCGATTTGGCGATTTGCAATGAAACAAGATTTCAGGTTTAACGTGAAATTTTATGGAATCAGACTGCAAAATCTGTAAATATATCTGTGCAATTCTGCTGCTAGTATTTGGGAGTTTGGGAATCCATGTGCGACGGATGAATACGCCAAAATTGACACGCTTTTCATGTCTTAAAATCTAGTGGTGTTGGTGGAGTTTGATACTTCAAAGATCAAACCAAATTAGCTTCAACAACAAGGACCTCAAGAAATGTGAATTATGTTGGAACTCGTTAACCACTTCACACATCTTATTCATGGTCATGTTGTGATTACTAATAGACTTTAAGTTGGGTTTGCAAAACACTAATAAAGCTCTAATCACAACAAATTAGTTAGTTACTTACATAATAAATAATATAACTAACTCAAGTAACTTGTTACTTATATAGCAATTTGGCACAAATTCTGGCTTCATGCCTTCTTTTTTTTTTCCCGCTGTATTGCTTCTATTTATAATGACATGAGTATTCATATCGGAGACTATTGGAAAGAAGATTGGAAATATTATGGGTTCGTTCGAAGAAATGGATCTTAAGGATGCCCACCAAAGTAAGCGCTTTTTGAGGATTAAGGTTAACATATATTTGAGAAAACCCCTAATAAAATGAGGAACGGTGGTTAAGTTCAAGGAGAAGAACATTCGTGTCCATTTCAAATTTGAAAAATTACCCACCTTCTGTTTTATGTGCAGAAGGATTGATCACTAATTAAAAGATTGTGAAGCCCTGTAAGATTTCAACGAAGAAGGATTTGAAGAACTTGAGGAGCAAGAGCTTTCATATGGCAAGCGAGCTTCGCCTTTACCTAATATAGTGGAGGAATAGAAGAAGAGAGATTCAAGTTCCAGAACATGCAGCAAGAATATTTTCAATGTATCCTCAGGCCAAAACAAGTGTGATTTGAAGGAGAAGGACAAAACAGAGGAACCAGAAGTCCAACAAACAGAACATGGTGAAGGATCGAAGGGAATCGTCCAATGAAGAACACAAGAGAACAAATGGGATAAACTGTATATTGAGACAGTAGCGGAATCATTGGGTGTCATAAATCTATCTATTGAGAAACCATATAATACTACTCAGATGGATTCTCTGGATGTTCAAAAAAGAAAGTGGACACGAAGGAAGGGTATCCAATAAAAGATAGGAACGCCAATGAAAGGAAGATGGACATAATGCTCGAAGAGACAACTGGTTGACATAATGGTTATTGAAGGATATGTAGAAGACTGTGGCAGCAGAGAGAAGAAGAGGAAACAAGGGAGAACGAAGGGTATGATTCAAAGCAAACTACCAGAGGTGGTATTGGAGAGTTAACATCGCATACAACAATGAAAGTCATTATTTGGAACTACAGAGGTTTGGGGAACCCTCGTGCAGTTCGAGCCTTGTTGAGGCTCATTCGCCTTAAAAACCTCAATGTGTTGTTCCTCATGGAAACACAGCTTAAGCATGACGAGTTATGTCCCATTCAACAAAATAGTGGTTTTCATTTTTTCCATGGCGTAGACTGTAGTGGAAAAGGGAGGGATATAGCTGGGGGTTTGGCCCTGTTATGGAATGATACGACGAATCTGACCATTACTTCTTTCTTAATTAACCATGTAAGTGGTTCTATTATAGAGGAAAATGATGACCAAGAGTGGTTCTTCAATGGTGTCTACGGGTTTCTAGAAGATTAGAATAAGTGGAGGGCTTGGCAATTGGTTCAGGATTTGGAAAGGCACGTGGAGGATAGTGCTATATTCTTTGGTGACTTCAATGATGTGACTACTGAGTCAGCGAAACAAGGGGGTAATAGCAGAACTTCCACTAAACTCTCATGGAGCCGACAAATGTTAGATTTATGCCAACTTGTTGAATTGGGATTCGAAGGGTATCCTTTCATGTGGTCTAATGGTTGAATGGATGAGGAAAAAAATCCAATGTCATCTTGATAAGGGATTTGCTAAGGATAACTTCATTAATATATTATCCACAATCAGATTTCTTCAACTATCTCATTTTGGTTCAGACCATGCGGGTATCAACATTGTCCTAGAGACTCCTTTGGAGGATTCTAGTAGGAAATGTGTTCACTTGTTCAGGTTTGAAGAGGTTTGGTCGAGAGACCCTAGATGTGAGAATCTTATGGGGAAATTGGAATGAGGGTGGTGCTAGAGGACATCAAAAGTTGAAGGAGATTTAAAGGATTGAGGATTCTTTAATAGAGTACAAGTTGGGGACAATGTTTAAAGAGATTAAGAGAATCGAGACTTTGCTCAAGGATGACTCTAACTAGTTTGCAAGTGAAGATGACTTGAGTCATTATAAGGCACTTGAAGTCCAGAGAAACAATTTGTTGCTAGTTGAGGAGACGATTTAGAAGTAGAAAAGTGGAGTAGTTTGGCTGAAAGTTGGGGACCAAAATACAAAGTTCTTCCGTGGCAAAGCGGACTAAAGAAGGAAAACCAATTCAATTTTAAAGCTCAAAGACGAGAATGGATGTTGATGGAAAGGGGTGCAACACTGTGAGCGACTGTTGGTTAATTACTTCTCTGAAATTTTCTCTACTTCCTTCCCCTAAAACATACAAAATGTTTATCAAGTGGTTCAAGGGAAATTAAATGGGGTGCAAGTTAGTTGTTGTGAAGCTCAACTCACGGCCTTGGAGGTTAAGGAGGCGATTTCCCAAATGCACCCCTTGAAGGCTCCAGATCCTGATGGTCTCCCTGATTTTTTTCTTCCAGAAATACTGGCACATTGTTGGAGTTGATGTTAGCAAGTTGGTTTTGGAGATTCTTAACAATGGAAGGGACCCTGGGCTAATTAATAATACATTCATAATTCTCATTCCAAAGTGTAAGCACCCTTCTGCCTCTAAGGACTTCAGGCCAATAGGTCTCTGTAATATGGTTATGAAGATTGTTACAAAGACAATAACAAATCATTTAAAGCTGTTAGATGACAGGCTTTGATCTAGAGGGGTGAATAGATCACAAATTTAAAAATATAACTTTTGGAAAAAATTGTTTTCAAAAGTTATATGGCACATCGGAAACAACCCGAATCAAATAATCTAACTGAGCCTACTATTGAAAAGCTCGGATATGCGTAACATAAACCAATTTGATGATAATGAACACAAATTATTCAACAACTATTAATTCACAAATCAATTAAATGTTAAGTTATGCGTATAGCTTATTTACAATGAACAAAAATCAATTAAAATACTTAAAGGTAATTTATCGAACACTTTGTGTGCGATCGATAACGTTTGGAAATTCAATTTGTTTTGTTAATGTTATAAGCCAATCACAGTCAAAGTGATTATGATTAGATCAACAACAACACTTTAAAAGATAGTTGAAAAACAATTTCCAATCGAATTTATCAAAACAACAACAAACTCGATAATTTGCAAGAACAACAATTAAAGAGATATTGTGTGTGTGTGTGTGTGAGAGAGAGAGAGATAAAGACAAAGAGACAAGATTTGTTCAGGCAGTTCCTCAACCGACCTCATTATGGGTATGTCTTCCCTCAATTCAAAATCGAATTGAGATACTTTCAACTAACCTTATCTTTACAAAATTGTTTATACAAGAGATGAAGAACTCTAACCCAAAAAAACCCTATGGTTTGTTGTTGATTCTACCACCTCCAAACCCTTGATCAAAGTTTGATCAAGTCACCAATGATACTGCTACAACTCACCAGTTCTTAACTACTTTATTGCAAGATCTCCTCGTCTTCGAGGTTTTCGCTCGGTCGGATTAATCCCTAGTACGCACTTGCAAGGAATCACCTTATCCTAAGGCCTTCACTCGGTCGAATTCGTATTTGTGTGATCTTGTCCAAAACTTTCAAATCACAATGATCTTGAATGGAAACCCCAACTTGGTTTTCTTATTTGAAACACACAAAGATTCTAACGCAATATTCTCGGCTACACCAACCTAATTGGACCTTATCAACCCTACTCTAGATGGTCACCCAATCAAAAAATTATTATGTGTAGTTTGATTGTGTGTATGCATAGAAGAGAGGTTGAAGGTGATGAGAATGCTTTATAATTCTGGTTTTGTTTAGGTTTTAAACTAGTGCCTCGCTAGAAAAAGATGCATGTATGAGTATATATATGTATCAGAGGAAATGAGCAAAAGAGAGGCAAGAAAAATAAGAGGAAAACAAACTTTGAGTTTTTGAAGGCAGTAGGTTGGCCTATGAAAGAAATAGGTCGGCCTGTC